ATGAATAGGTAGCCAGGCATAGTGGCACATACCCATAATCCCAGTGGCTCAGGAGGCTGAGGCAGGAGGATAGCAAGTTCAAAGCCAGCCTCAGCAACTTAGCAAAGCCCTTAGCAACTAAGACCATGTCTCAAAATAAAAAAGAAAAAGGGTTGGTGATTTGGTTTAGTGCCCTAGATTCAATCCTGAATGCCAAAAAATAAAAATGAATGAAATGAATGGGTATAATGATTGCTAAATTTACTGTCAGCTCAAACCTTTGAATCTATTAAAAGTCCCATGAAAACACAAGCAAGACAACAGCACCTTTTAAAAAAGGAAGACATTAGGCATTGGTTTAGCAATCAAATAATACTCAACATCTGTAAAAATCTTACATACATAGATGAAATCTATATATAAAAGGCAAAAATGAAAGAAAAGCAGGAAAGAACACACAAACTTAATCAAGATAGTATGTCAAAAAGAAAACCAAGCCAGGCAAGGTGGCACACGTCTGTAATCCTAGTGGCTCAGGAGGCTGAGACAGGAGGATGGCAAGCCAGCCTTAGCAAAAGCAAGGCACTAAGCAACTCAGTGAGATCCTGTCTCTAAATAAAATACAAAATAGGGCTGGGGATGTGGCTCAGTGGTTGAATAACCCTGAGTTCAATCCCTGGTACAAAAAAAGAAAAAAAGAAAAAAACCATTAACAAACCTCAACACTAAGAATTTCAAATTTCTCTTTGATAGACTTGCTGTTTTCTTTTTTTTCAATTTTCAACTTTTTTGTTTTTGCTGGTCCTTTCTGGCTCTTTTTCCTTTTGGTGGGTTCTTCTTCAGTGGAAATCTAAAGGGGAAAAAAAGACCCACAAAGATCTAAAAGAACGAGAAGCAGCAATCCTGGTCTTTACCTCACATTTCAGGTTATGTCACCTTGTTTTATTACTCTGCTACTCTCCTTCTTCACTCCCAACTGTTCCTTTAATTCCTGCTGTAATCCCAACTCTCCCATTCACCTATCACTGCCAAAGTTTGAGAAGCCGCCTTCATGTACCTAAGTCTTTTCTTTCCTATATTCTTCTTTCCTTGATTGGAAATGAACACTGAGGTTCCCAGCTTAAAAAGAAATATGCAACACTGCATGAAAACAGAATCTGTGGTCAAGAGACCCAAGCTGAACTCCCAAACTCTTCCATGATAAGCTATGCAGTCTTAGTAAATAATCTTCCTAAGCCTCAGTTCCTCATAACAGAATGACAATTTCTACATTATAATATAGTTGGAAAGATTACATAAAATAGATCTAAGGCCATACACTCAAATGTTAGTTTCCTCTAGCTTATGGAATACAGTCTACTTGAGGTGAGACTGACTACAAATTCTAATGCATGGAGCTGGGACTAGGGCTCAATGGTAGGGCACTTGCCTAGCATGTGTGAGGCACTGGGTTCAATTCTCAGCACCACATATAAATAATTAAAATAAAAGCTCTATCGGTAACTGAAAAATACAATATTTTTTTAAAAAATCTAATGCAAATTCTGACCATGGTATGTGGCAAAGATCCCATTTAAAAACATAATAATAAACATGCTCCCCCCCCCCTCCTTAACCAACATGGCACAGAATTCCCAAGGACAAGGTACAACATTACTTCAAACTCAATTACTAAATGTCATGCTTCAAAAATACAGCTTTGTGATGGTAGAGCCTCGCTAATGAGTTCAATTACAGAAGTGAACTTCAACAAAAAACAATTCTGAAAAATAACAAGTATCAAATACGGCTCATTCTCCACAAAAATGTTAGAGAGAAAGTTTCAAGTGAGTCTCACCACAGCAGCATAAAACCTACATCAAATAAGTTGTCTTGTTCAACTGACTCCTGGAAAGATTTCTCTAATTTGTGGGTCTTTCTTGTACCCCCTCGGGGGAAGCTTTCTTCTACAGTTGCCATATTTGGGTCTCCTAAAAACAATGCAAAGAACAATGGTGAGAAGTAGCATTAATGGCAGGTTTCATAAAGGCTGTGATCAATGAGCAAGAGAACTTCCTACCAATGTGCAAGACAAGATTTTCCCTCCCATATTTTTTATTGTGCATTATAGTTGTACAAAACGGTAGGGTTTGTTGCTACATAATCACACATGTAAACAATATAATTTGGCCAATAGCACTCCCCCAGCACTTCCCGCTCCCCACTCCCTTTCCTCTGTTCTACTGCTTTCCCTTTGATTTTCGTGAGATTCCCCAGCCTTTTTCTTTTTCCTCTCTAGCTTCTACATAGGACAGACAACATATGACCCTTGAATTTCTGAGTCTGGCATATTTTGTTTCACATAATAGTCTCTAGTTCCATCCATTTGCCTACAAATGACATAATCTCATCTTTCTTTATGGCTGAATGAAACTCCATTGTGGATACATACCATATTTTCTTTATCCATTCCTCTATGAACACCTAGGTTGGTTCCATAGTTTGGCTACTGTGAACTGTGCCACTATAAATATAGGTATGTATGTATTGCTATAGTATCTACCAAAGAGTAGTAAAGGGTCACATGAAGATAAGATTTAAGACTATGAGACAGATGGTTGAGATATCAGGCCTCTGTTAATCCATATTTTATCTTTCCAAATCTCTCTGCTTCAAAACCACAAACCACTCACATTCCTGCATGAAAAAGACTTAGATTTAATGTAGCAAATAAATTAAATACATTAAATACATTAAGCAGCTACAATTATGTCAGAGATATAGAAATAAAAGATAAAATAAGCTGGGTGCAGTGGTGCACCCCTGTAATCCCAGCAATTCAAGAGGTTGAGGCAAGAGGATCTCAAGTTCAATGACAGCCTCATCAAGTTCTAGGAAAACCTGGGCAAGGTACTGAGACCCTCTTTCAAGATAAAAGGCTGGACAAATGTTTTTCTCTGATAAGTGGATGCTAATCCATTAAGGGGTGGGGGGCATGGGATTGAGTGGAAGAACTTTGGAATGGCCAAAGGGGAGGGATGGGTGGGAAGAAGGCATGGGGATAGGTGAGATGGTGGAATGAGACAGACATCATTACCCTAGGTACATGTATGACTGCACGAATGATGTGACCCTTCTTTGTGTACAACCAGAAAAGTGAAAAATTGTGCCCCATTTGTGTACTATGAATCAAAGAGCATTCTGCTGTCATGTATAACTGATGAACAAATAAACGTAAAAAAAAAAAATAAAGGGCTGGTGATGTAGCTCATTGGTAAAGCACACCTGTGTTCAACAGAAAAAAAGAAAACAAAACAATTACACAAGTAATTTAAAATATAAATCAGTTGGGTGCAGTGGCACATGCATGTAATCCTAGCAGCTCAGAAGACTGAGGCAGAAGGATCACAAATACAAAGCCAGCCTCAGCAACTTAGTGCAGCCCTAAGTAATTTAGCGAAACCCTGTGTCAAAAAATAAAAAGGCAGGGCTGGGCTTGTGGCTTAGAGGTAGAGTACTTGCCTAGCATACGTGAGGCACTGGGTTCGATCCTCAGCACCACATAAAAATAAAATAAAGATATTGTGTCCTCAAGACCTAATTCCATAAATAAATAAATAAATAAATAAATAAATAAATAAAAGGGGGGGGGTCTGGAGTTGTATGAGACACTAGGTTTGATCCCCGGCACCACATAAAAATAAATAAAAACATGGTGTCCGTATACAACTAAAAAGTTTTTTAAAATAAAAATAAAATAAATAAATAAAAAGAGCTAGGAATGTGACTCAGTGGACTGAAGCACCCTGGTTCAATGCGTGCTAAAAATCAGATTATAAACCATAAACAAAGAGCTTGGAAGTGGTGCCTTGGTAAAGAAAGCAAGCTTCATAAGGAAGATGCTTCTGAGCTTAATGTTAAAAGATAAATAGGAGGGCTGGGGCTGTAGCTCAGTGGTAGAGCACTTGCCTCCTAGGTGTGTGGCCCTAAGTTCACCACATAAAAATAAATAAATAAAAATAAAGATTTAAAAAAAAAAAAAGATAAATAGGAATTTGATGGGTAGGAAAGTAATGTAAGAAAAATGAAAAGTGGGTGACCTTGGGAGACTCAATAAACACTAATAATTTGCCTATCAATTGTTCAATGGCTTGCTATTGCCTTTGAACAGTTGTTCAATTAGATCATAGGGAAAATTAATGCATAATAATTAGAGTTAAATTCTAAAAGGTTGGGATTTGGAGAAAAGATCTGAATTAGAAATTGGCAGTTTATGCTTACTTTGGCAAGTAAGATTCTTATGTGGGGAAGCGAGAGAACAGTAATAAAGAATATAGACTGGACTGGCAACGAGGGGACTTGCAGAAAGGAAATCGGGTAGGATTTAAATGCAATAGCCAAGAAAACATGAAAACCAGAAGTAGGTACAAGTGAGAACAGAAAATAAGAGGTATTGGTTCTGTGAGATACTTGGAAATAAGAATCTAGAAGGGCTCGAGACTTAACAGAGGTAACGACCGGGAAAGACCTTAGGGTTTGGAATCAAAGTATAAGTGCGGGCTTCACAGAAACAGGAAAGTGCAAGGGATTTAGTTCGCTGGGAACTCAACCCTCAATCTTATTTCAGACAAAAGGAAACCGAGGCTCCAACAACTAAGGCCATCCAGGAGAAGAGAAGGAACTTAAGCTATTTCCTGAGGATAGCTAGGGGTTACAGGAACCGCTAGAGCAGAACTGGGCTCAAGTGTACGAACCACCATTTCAACAGGTGGGTGCGTGACAAGGACCCGATATACCTAGCCCCGAAGCGGATCTGAAAGCCATGAAGTTTCCTCCCTTCTTGCTCCCGACCTCACTCACCAGCTCCGCGCGCCTCTCTACCCCGGAGTAGGTCCAGACGTACTCACACACGCGGAGACCAAACCTACAAGCGCGTGAAGCTCTTCCGGAAGTGTGGGCGGGCCCAACACCCTACTTCCGTTACTATGTTGCGGCCTGCAGGCCTTGGGAAGCTTTGTCTAGACAGGAAGCGGAAGGGCGGGACTTGGAGCCCTCGCCAATCGATGCAGAAGGCTGAATCGCTGTGGCCCGTTAAAATCGAACGGAGGAGGTGGCTTCTTCCGGCTGGGTCCAGGAGATAGCTGTGTAAGTTGAAGGACGTCGGCTGTCGAATTTGTGGCTTTAACAAGGTAAGTCAGGAGGGCTCCCCGGCTCGGACCTAGTACCTCGGCTTTGTGGAGCTGAGCTAGACTGACCGTTTCTGATTTGGGAACTCCACGAGGTCTTCTCTTTGGGAGTCGAGAACTGTGGAGAATGGAAAAGGGGCTAGAGAAAATGAGGATCGAGGCCTAAAGGCTCCTGCAGCAGCTAGGAAACCTCAGAGAGCAGCGGTTAGGCTCAGCCGCTTTCCGAAGACTCTTCAATTGCTTTTTCTAGTGGGAAAAGATGAGACCCGTCGCAGAAGTCTCCCAAGGTCACCCACGGATAAAAATTGAATGAGGACTCGGACTTCTGACCCCATGTCTCTTTTCGCCTGTATGGCTGTGGATGTTTGTTGACACTAAGTTTTGATTGAGAAACTGGCAACCAAGCCTCCTTTAGTTGTGCGGCAACCTTTGTCAGAGCGAGAGCTAGTGTGGCCTGGCCCTTGCTTTTTTCTCCAGGCCTGCGCACGATAAGCCAGTTAGATTTCAGTGTGTGTAGGAACAGCGAAAGGCCTTCCTGAGAGGAGAGCTGTAGCTCTCTCTTGTGTTTGGTTTTACCCCTAAGTGATGAACTCACCACTCCAGGTGGATGTCCAATCAGACAGCAGAATAGCAATATCGAAGAACAGGGAAAAAGCAAGGGCAACTGGTCATTTTAGGCCTTTAATGAAATGACCATTTTATAGGCAGAGACAGGCTTGAAAGGATTGGTTATATTTAATACTGGTTAGTGGCTTAATTAGAAATAAATGAGGAGATTCATCTACTTAGACCTTCCCATAAGCAGCGTTTAACATTAAATCACAAGTTCACAAGGAGTGTTAGTTGATTTTCTCCTTCATTTACATAGCTTTCTAAACTTAGGTGTGACAAAGACAAAAGCAAGTTTCAGTTCAATTTTTCCATAAAGGGTACTCCAACATGAGGGTTCCTGATCTTTGCCCTAAAATAACTTGCCCTTTGTTGAAAGGTGCAGACCTAGATGTTTTGAGGCTTATATCCATTGTTTATCACACCAGCAACATTTCCACTGCCCATCTGTCTCAACCTTTTCTGAGTTGATCTCCTTTAAGACACTCTAAATTTCAGTTCCTATACCATGCCCTTTCCTAGGATCAAAGTTGTTTTGAGAAATATCAAACATCAGCCTTCTATGTTATGTAAATTAGAGTGAAATTTAAAGCATCATAATCATAATATTGTTTCAGTTGGACACCACTCCCTCCTAAAAAGTTTTGTTAGATACGAAGTAATAGGGGTTATCAGTTATTGAGTTGACGAAGTTAAAGCCATGTTTTCTGTAGGGTTTCTCACGAACCGACATCAGACTAGACCTGGTGGCGCCCGCCTGTAATCCCAGCGGCGTGGTAGGCTAGGGAAGGAGAATAAGGACTGGGGATGCAGCTCAGTGGTTAAGCACCCCTGGGTTCAATCCCTAGTACCAAAAAAGTATCATGAAATGAATGAAAAATTAGCCTATAATAGGTTTAGTAAAATGAAACAGTTGATATGAAAATACATCATAAAGGGTTTTTTGTTTGGTACTGAGAATTGAACCCAAGAGTGCTCATCACTGAGCTACATCCCAGTCCCCCCCCCCTTTTTTTAAATATTTTTAGTTGCTAATGGATTTTTTACTTTATGTATTTATATGTGGTGCTGAGGATCAAACCCAGGCCTCACACATGCCAGGCAAGTGCTCTTCCACTGAACCACAACCCCAGTCGCCCAGTCCCCTTTTTATTTTGAGATGGGGTCTTGCTAAGTTGCTGAGGCTGGCCTTGAACTTGCAGTTTACCTGCTTCAGCCTCCTAGGTAACTGATATAAAGCTTTCTTTTAATGGAGTCTTTCCTAATGGTGTTAAACTGGTCAAGGCCTGTGAAGGAATCTTAAAAAGTTTGGATTTTCTTCATTGATCCAAGAACCTTTCTAAATCAGTTTTCAAATTAAGGTCTCAAATTTTCATTGCCAATTCTTTGCAAGTGAATGCTCCTGCAGGCCTTTGAATGGTCAACAAAGACTTGCCAGTTTCCATAGCAACAACTCCCTCTTCCATTTCAAGACCTAACTGAGTCATTGCCACTGCTTACCAATCTCCACCAGAGATCAACCTGATTGGTCTGTGTTGCCAGTGAACTCACAGTGTGCCAAGTTGTGGTAGATAGGTGGTCACACATATGAATTTCCAACTGATATTCTGATATTTATGGTGACCTTTTGAACATGTCTTTTTTTGGGGCGGGGGGGTACTGGAGATTGAACCCGGGGGTATTCAACCACTGAGTCATATCTCCAGCCCTTTTTTATTTTTTTATTTTGAGACAGGGTCTCCTAAATTGTTTAGGGCCTTGTTAAGTTGCTGAGACTGGTTTTGAACTTGCAATCCTCCTACCACAGCCTCCCGAATCACTGGGATTATGGATGTGTGCCACCATGCCCACCTAATTATGTCTTGGTGGCATATTTTTTTGGGGGGGAGGTATATATAATTACATTTGATTTTCTGTTTCCATTACTTCAGTGTTCATTAGAATTATCAGTGGCTTTATTAAAACAGATTGCTAGGCCCTAGAGTTTCTAATTCAATTGGTCTATGGTGGAATCTGGGAATTGGCATTTCTAACAAGTTTCCAGTGATGCTGATTCTTCTTAGTGGTCTAGACTACACTTTGAGAACCATTGATATGCTCCCAAGATCCAGAAATTGGATTTTTTTTTTTTTAACATTACCTGGGGACCCCTTTCCACATCGATACACAAAGTTCTATGCACATTATTATTTCCTCCAACAAAATCCTGATGAACTTTTCAGTTTTTCCATTCATAACAGGTGTTTTTTTGTTTGTTTGTTTTTGGTACCAGGGATTGAACTCAGGGACACTTGACCACTGAGCCACATCCCCAGCCCTATTTCGTATTTTATTTAGAGACAGGGTCAGGGTCTCACTGAGTTGCTTATGCCCTGCTTTTGCTGAGGCTGGCTTTGAACTCATGATCCTCCTGCCTCAGCTTCCCAAGCTGTTGGGATTACTGGCATGTGCCCCCACGTCTGGCTGCAATATATATATATATATATTTTAATGGGGTCTTGCTGTTTCCCAGAATGGCCTCAAACTCAGATCCTCCTGGTTCAGCCTCCTGGCATGGTGACACACATCTGTCATCCCAACTACTCAGGAAGCTGAAACAGGAATAATATTTCTGTAAAAAGAAATTCCTAGAGGAAAAATGAACTAGCTAAATGGAAGAGTATACAAATAATTGATACTACAAGTTGTGCTTTAGGAAAGTTGTACCAGTTTACACTCCCAAGCAAACTTCTATTTTATGTCTACCAGTTTTCCTTTTTTTTTTGGTGCTGGGGATTGAACTTGGGGCCTTGTGCATGCGAAGCAAGCATTCTACCAACTGAGCTATATATCCCCAGCCCTATATTTTTCCTTTCCTAAGATAATTAAAATGTTTGCCCAATTTTTTTCCTGGACTTTTTGGTTTCACTGTTCATTTCAACATCCTTTATCTATTTTGGAATAAGAAGTTAAGAATTTCAGCTTTCCCACCATCTTCAGTGGCTAGTATCAACTCCATTTAGTAGATGATACCTTGTCTACCCTCCCTTGGAAGTCCTAAGTGACTTATAATAGGGAGCTGAGAGTTAAGCTAATTGGTTTCACCTCTCTGAGAAAATTTGAAAGTATCATAGGCTCCAACTTTCAACTAATCTTAAAACTGGTTAATTCAATATACAGTATACTAATGTGACTAAAACCTGGAATTAAAAATGTTAAGCTATACTGGTTCAGGGTGAACTTAGTGACTACTGTGTTCTTTTCCTATGCTGGATGATGTGACATATTCTGGGGTGTTTATGAAATTATAATCAAGGGGCTGGTGTTGTAGCTCAGTAAGAGAGCTCTTGCCTAGCACGTTATGCACTGGGTTAAATCCTCAGCACCACATATAAATTAAATAAATGTATTGTGTCCATCTACAACTAAACAACTTTTTTTGTTGTTTTTTAAAGAAGGCAGTCAAGATGAAGTCCTACTTCCAAAAGCTCCTCTTAACTGGCAAGGCTTTTGTCACCATTTTTGCTACTCCTGTGTTGGATGAAACATAGATGAAATTTTACCACAATAGTTATTTGCACTGACTTTAGAGTTTTTTAACTAAGAAAAAATCCTTATTTTATTTTAAATTTCTTGAAAACCAATTTATTGTTGCTTTCTTTTTTTTTTTTTTTTAAAGATTGAAATAATGGCAGGTCCAGAAAATGATGCCCAATTCCAGTTCACTGGTATTAAAAAATATTTCAACTCTTATACTCTCACTGGTAGAATGAATGTAAGTATTGATGATATCTTTAAGGAGTTGTATTTTTCAATAATATGGGTATAACAGTAACTTTTATTTATATTTTTCTTTCTTTTTCAGTGTGTACTGGCTACATATGGAGGCATTGCTTTGGCTGTCTTATACTTCAAGCTAAGATCTAAAAAAACTCCAGCAGTGAAAGCAACATAAATGGTAAGTTGACATTTCCAAGTCCATAACTAAGCCACTTTGATGTTGGGGGCCTCCCTCCCCAACTATAAAAGTAAACTATTGTCATTTTTTGCAAATATTATTGCATATAAGCAAGCAAGCAAGCAAAAAATTGCCCATCTTATTAATCTATTTTTGTTCTTTTTAACTTTTTTAAAAATGTATTTTATTTCATTTCCAATAGTTTTGGGCATGTCTTTAATTTTATAACTATTTTCTTATGATTTGAATGCACATATTCATTGACATAGGAACTATACTTCACAGAAAAAATCTAGAATTTTTTGAAGATAAATATTACAATGAATGTTTTTGAGCATGAAGTATAGTCTATATCTATGAATGTTTCCTTAGGCTGAAGTGCTTTCCCAAAGATTATGGGGTATGTCTTGTCTATCCAATGTGGAATCTTGTTTCTAATTTTTGCAAATTTGATGAGTAAAATAAACTTGTGTCCCTTTTTTACTATTTGTATTTTTCTTAAAATTGTTTTTGTCCTAATTGGTTAGACAACTTGCGTATGCTCTTTACATAATACTTTTTTTGGCAGTGCTAGGAATTAAACCCAAGGCCTTGTACAGCCTGGGCAAGCACTCTTGCCACTTAAGCTGCTCCCCTAACCTTAACTGACCTTTTGTATACAGTTACATATGTTCTTTTCAGTAGTTTCTTTGCTAGTTTCAGTTTTCAAATAATGAATTGTCTTTTCCCTGAACCCCCATAAAGTTTATTTTCTTATATTTTCTCCTCAGACTCCATTTGCCCATTCTTCTTTTGTATGTATGGTGCTGGGAATTGAACCCAGGGTCTTGTGCATGCAAGGCACATACTGTACCAACTGAGCTATATCCCTAGCCTCTCACTTGCCCATTCTTAAATGAGTAACTATCTGTGGCGTTAGTGGCAGGTAATATTCAGGAATCCCCAAATCCACATCTTTATCTAATATAGCTCTCCTTCAGAGACTGATTTTCTTCTGTGAAGTTTTTCCAGTCAAAATTGTTGACCTTAGGGATTGCATATTCCAGAATGATCCATGGCTTCTTCTTTACAAAGAGGTAGTATTTTGCCCAATTTTCTATGCAAGTTAACTCCTAATTTGGGGAAAGTGGTAGTAGCCTCATAAAAAAATGTAAAATTATGCCTCAAATTTTAAATAACAGATGGATATCTCCTTTCTGCTACTTAAAATGTTACTTTATATACTTGACTGTTGGAGTAGTTTGCCTTTAAGATCATACTAAATTTGTTGGCAGTTCTTTAAAGGTGGAGTATTAGGTTAAAATGCATCAATCTGAGCAATACCTTGTTTAGGCCTTACCTGTTTGAGAATCTGATGAGGGCTGCGTTTGTGGCTCAGTGGTAGAGCACTTGCCTAGCATGTGTGAGGCACTGGATTTGATTCTCAGCACTACACAGTAAGTAAAGGTATTATGTCTGTCTACAACTAAAAAAAAAATTTAAAAGAATCTGATGAATTTACATTCAGTTTCTGGGGATTTAAATAGTCCTATTTTGTAATTACTTAAAAGTAGTATTGGAACACATTTATGTCAAAATTGTCTTTGCTTTGTTTATAGGATTCTAAAATGTGTGACCTCATCTGTTAAGTTCCCATCCCTGGAGAAGCTAATGTCAACTCATCATGTAATATTCAATTTGTACAATAAATTATGAACCTGGAAAAGCTGGTTGTCTTTATTTACAAGATATCAAAAATATAAAAACTGTACAAAATGCAACAAAGGCAAAAACTGGCAGTGACTTGGTCTAAATCTTTTAGTTTTCCAAAGCAAGGCTCAGTACTGGAGGTAAGCAACTGAAATGTCTGTCTGACTTCAAGTGTACTAGGTTGTATATGTAGCCATTTAGCTGAAGTAGAACATGATAGCTAAATCTCTTCACCTGTTTTTAGAGTGTTTTGGTGCACTCGAAACTCAAAAGGTATAAATTGAGATGTTAGTGGGTGGTTGTACTTCATCTACATCTTAGGAAGGAATTATAGTTCACCCTACCCAGTTACATAAATTCCACTAATCATGGGCCAAGAAAAATGTTAATGGGTCATTTAACATAGTACTTGAGTGCCATACAGTAACTTCATTTTTACAGCAGAAACATACATGCTCATAGAATTCTTCAGCTAAAATTCAAGACAGTATTATATTTCTTAATTTGAATCTTGAAGCAGGATGAATTTTTTTAAGATCAAATTTTTTTCTAAACATAATAAATTAAAATAGCATTTGAACAGAAAATGCATAGTTTCCACACAATCCAAAGCACCATAAATGTCCCCTCCATGAACATAGTATCTCTCTTATTCAACTAACGGAAATTAGTTAAATGTGGTTGCTGTAGAAACGTGGAACTGTCCTGTTCAGATTTTCTAAGCAGCATACTTCCAGATCCATATAGACAAAAACATTCTTTGTAGCTTAAATATTAATCACTGAGGTATTTGCTTTTTAGTCTCCCTTTTTCAAACAGTAGCTTCCAGAAGGTCTTTAATACCGATGGTTTATTGCGGACTATAAGCTCCTGCAGCTAGAACCAAATTTCTTCGAGTAAAATGGAGGTGTACAACTGGTGTTGATTTGGTCATATATGTACCCAATAATAACTCCTGTGAATTTTCAGGTAAATTTATATGCCCAGTGGCTGTAGTAAAGTCATCAGTCTCTAAATCTTCAAATGCTTTGATGGCATCCCATAACCGAACTGTATTATCCATTGAACCTAAGGGGAAGTCAAAGGAAACCATTAGTTGCATCCATCATATTTAGATTCTGACATTTTGCTGTATATATTTTATGTGTTTGCCACAAAGCCATTACCTGATGCCAAAATTTCACCATCTCTACTAAACCTAAGTGAACAGACTGTGTCGGTGTGGCCTTTTAATTCTCCAACCATCAAACCATGTCCAATATCCCAAAGGAGTACTCTGCCATCCGTTGCTCCTGTAGCCAGGAATCTCCCATTGGGAGAAAATGTCAAGGAATGAATTGGTCCCTAGAAAAGAATTCCATGGAAAGTATCAAAGTAGAGTTAAATATATCTAAGGAAATAAGACAAAGTTAGAATTTTAGTTTAGTGGTATGAATGTTATCTTTAAAATGTATGAGTCACTGGTTAGTTTAAAAAATATATTTATCTGGAAAGTATCTTTGAGTGCTGGAATAATGAAGTTTTATATAAAATACCTTGTGTCCAGTGAAGATCCTTACACAATTACCATTCAGGACATCCCAGAGCCGCACAGTTCTGTCTGCTGAGCCCGTAGCAACATAATTTGAATTTGGATGAAATCTGGTACAATTCACATCAGCAAGATGACCAGCAAATATCCTTAAAGGCTGATAATGGTCTGTAGCCCAGAGCCTTTTAAAAGTTATGAAATATGAAAGATGATAATTAGGAGTTATAACTGTTAAATGCCAAAATAGATGGGTTCCCATTAAGCCAGCCAACTATATGGAAGAAGATGGAATGACTGAGACATTCTTTAGAAAAAGAATTGATCTGGTACAAATCTTTAGCTTTCATAATTCTTTTTTGAGAGAGAATTTTAATATTTATTTTTTTAGTTTTCGGCGGACACATCATCTTTGTATGTGGTGCTGAGGATCGAACCCGGGCCACACACATGCCAGGCGAGTACTACCGCTTGAGCCACATCCCCAGCTCCTCATAATTCTTTAATTTTATGTACTTTCTGTATTTAATATTCTATATTGCCCCTTCCTCCTCTTCACTCCTAGTTTAGTCTAAACCATTAAAATATATTTTCCCCTAGTTTTGTGTACCATATAATTAGTTTCTAACCTGAGCTACCTCATCTGGAACTTTTAAAGAGACAACGATAGGGAAACAAAGCTACTCAAAGTGGTAATGGAAGAAATAATCATCTAATGGGGGAGATTTTATAAGCTAACTTAAAAAAAAGCAGGACTCTTGGTATAGACATATTGATATGGTAACTCCTGTCCCAAATTCATTTTCAAATAATAGCTATAAATTCAGATGTTCTCCAAAAGTTGTTCTTTCTTAAATAATGGAAGTGAAAATTAGTTTGGATAAAGTTGGTAATGCTCAACAAGAAACCAGTATGTTCACTGAATAAACACAATCACAAGACTACCATGTTCTTACCGAGCTACTCGGTCGTGGCCCCCTGATACAAAATAATATCCATATGGAGAAAACTGTGTGTCCCATACTGGATAGTTGTGTCCTTTATATCCCACCAAGCAAGTAAACGTTTGAAGGCTCCACAATCTAACAGTTCCATCCTCTGAAGAGGAAAGCAGGTAGTTCCTGAGAGAAGAAAAATTGGTACATTCCCAGATTATATTCCCAAAATAACATTTGGTTACCTGCCCAGATTTTTCCTTACATTTGAACATTAAATGTAACTTATTAACATGTTACATCACTCTCAATTTATACATGGAATTCACAGATACCAAAAGCTCAAAGTACTAAACTATTGTTAAAACCAAATGTTAGCCTTGACATTACTTATAATGAACACCTACTGAATGAGATTATTTAAAAAAATAAATAAAGGGATAAATGTCAGTTCTTTAGAAAAAAATAATGTTGGGTAATAAAATGTATAGTCAAATAAGCTTAATTGGGAAAGTTTAAGAAATGTGCTGCTGCTTTGGGCTAGGGATGTGGCTCAAGCGGTAGCGCGCTCGCCTGGCATGCGTGCAGCCCTGGTTCGATCCTCAGCACCACATACAAACAAAGATGTTGTGTCCGCCAAGACGTAAAAAATAAATATTAAAAAAAAAAAGAAAGAAATGTGCTGCCATGTAAAACTCAACAATTTTTGGCTCTAAAATGGAGATGCTATTTTCCTATTCTATATAAATTGTTTAAGAATTAAAGAGGGGATTGGAAGTGTAGCTCAGCAGTATAGCATGTGCTTTGCATGTATGTAAAGCCCTGGGTTTAATCTCCAGCACCCACCACTGCAAAAAAAAAAAGGCTTTTATGGGCAGTGGGCAGACTACAAACATGGTAATAATACTCTACAAGGATAAATACAAAACCTGACAGTTTTCACTAAAATCAGAATTAAATCTGAAATCAAATAAAAATGTATCATGATCTGTCTGGGGCTGGGGCTGTGGCTCAGCAGCAGCACACCTGCCTGGCATGTGCAAGGCACTAAGGTCGATTCTCAGCACCACTTATAAATAAATAAAGGTCTATCAACAACTTAAAAAAAAAAAATATATATATATATATATATATATATATATATATATATATATATAAAATATATTATCTGTCAACAACAACAAAAACTCATTCAAAAAGTTTCATAGAGGAGGGGCTGGGATATATAACTCAGTTGGTAGAGTGCTTGCCTCACCTCACATGTACAGGCCCTGGGTTCAATCCCCAGCACCACGGGGGGTAAAAAAGTTTCAAGAGGAAAATCTTAATAGATTGAAAGCTATTACCTAGCTAAGTAAGATACAGATGGTCTTATGAATATAAAATACCCAACCCATTACTATACATTACAGATCATGAAAAAACAGGTAAATAACTACATACATACTTTGGAATCATATGGCTAAAGGGAAGAAAGACCTAAAATAGCAATAGCAATTATAAATTTCCTTTTAGTATCTTCTTAATTTTTGACATGGTCTTACTAAGTTGCCGAGGCAAGTCTCACACACAATCCTCTTGCTTCAGCCTCCTGAGTAGCTAGGATTACAGGTACACATCACATACAACAGTGCCTGGATTTCTTAGTATTTTTTTTTCCAAATATGTTATATTTTGTGCATGTACCAGTATGGAACAACAAATCCCAAACATGATGTATAAATATAGTACACCAATAAAAATATGGAAAAACAAAGAAAAAAGGCAGTCTTTGGTACTTTTTTTTAGTTGTAGATGGACATGATATTTATTTTATTCATTAATTATTTTTATGTGGTGTTGAGGATCAAACCCAGTGCCTCACACATGCCAGATGAGCTCTCTAACTCTGAGCCACAACCCCAGCCCTCTTTATCTTCTGATTATACAAAAGATAAAATTCCAGTTCATAGTTAGAATGCCATTAATATCAGGAATTTATTTTTTATGTACCAACAGACACAACGCAAGGACTCAAGCAATTCAACCCCTAATTAGGGTTATACAAAGCTAAAGCTGATTTTCGAAACCCAGTTAGCTCTGAACTGTGCATCTTTTAAAAAAATTTTTTTTTAGTTATTGACGGACATTTATTTCATTTATTTACTTATATGTGGTACTAAGAATCAAACCCAGTACCTTATACATGCTAGGCAAGTGCTCTATCACTGAGCCACAACCCCAGCCCAGAACTGGGCATCTTGAAGTCTATAAATTGAGGTATATATGAAGTTGCTATCTTGTACACCAGTACCCCAAAATGAATTAGCAAATGGCAAGATTATAAAAGGTTATAAATGAGGTCTGGGGTTATGGCTCAGTGGTAGAGCGCTCGCCCCGCACATGCAAGGCCCTGGGTTCGATCCTTAGCACCACATATAAATAAATAAAGTTTTTTTTAAAAAGGTTATGAATGACAGGCAACCATGAGATTTTTCTAAGAAAATTTTCCAGGCATTTGTACTATGCTTCCAGATATTACCTCTGTAATATGGAGATAATATAAAAATACCT